CTTCAACTGATAGATGGCATAGAATATCGGGTGGCCTTCTATGTTCATAGTGTCATCTCATATGAGGAGTAGAGCTCATTGATGCATACAACCTCTTTAACCTAGGTATAAGAGGTAAGTAATGCATCGCTTTAACTGGAACTTTCTTTTTTGTATTGGCATTTGTGACTTACTTAAAACAAGGTTGATTACAAAATTTACAGTTCTCTAGAGATGTGTCATCCTTATAGTATAACATGTAAGCTTTCTCACAACAATCAATTCTCTTTAATGAAAGACCCAACTTACAAACCAATTTTTTAGCAGTATAGAAATCTTTTGGTAAGTCAATGTTACTCGGATTAAGTTCATTCATAAGCCCAATAATAGAATCCATGTCCGCTTGGGAAATAGAACTATCCGATTTAATACTTAGCAATCTAACCGCAACAGACAACTTGGAATGCATCGAGCCTTCATACAATGGACGACTAGCTTCCTCTAACTATTCATAGAAATGCTTAGCCTCAACATTTGGTTCGGATTGAACCCCAGGAAACATCCCAAAAGCATCCCTCATCATTTCATTGTATCGAAAATTTTCAACATTATGCTTCGCAATGGAGATACCTTCACCACCAAAAGAATTATAAAAGTTAACATCATCTAAACTACTCCCTCCATTTTAATTTATATGAACATGTTTGACTATGCATGGAGTTTAAGAAAAAATAAAGACTTTTAGAATTTGTGGTCCTAAACAAGTCAAAAGGGGGTCTAGAATATTTGTGTGGTTATAAAATTGGAAGGGTAGAATTGGAAGTTTAAGCTAAATTATTTCCAAATTTAGAAAGGAGTTATTCTTTTTGGAACGGACCAAAAAGGAAATAGAGTCACATAAACTGGAATGGAGGGAGTAGCATGATTCTCCCCATGAACAGTCTATATATAACAATTTTCTACAAAACCTTTCTTGTAGAGTTGAACTTTAACTTCGTTTGTTTTCAATAACTTAACACACTTACATTTCACACAAGTGCACCTAATCCTTCCTCCAATAAGAAAATCATTAAGTATTTGAGCCTTAACAATAAATTCAGCAACTCTTTCAATAAATTCATCCTTCAACCCCATACGATTAGGATGATTCCTATTATACATCCATCTACGATGCACAAATTCCATCTACATAAATAGAAATCTAGAAATGAGATATTTAAAACAATTTAATTTATTTAAAATGGTTACAAAGTTATACTCTTTCAAAGGTTCGTTTTAGATATATACATATCATTGTGTCAAAGCACTTTAATTGATATATTTATTTTTTAAATTAATATTTTTTAACACTCGAAATCTTACATTAATCCCTATTCCAAATAATACAAGTCTTTAACTATAATAATTAAATTTGAATATCTTCTTAAATGTTCATATAATCCAAATTAACTAATGATTCTCAAATTTACAAATTAATCTTAATGTTGAAATTGAAAATTTTTTAATTTAATATCGTTTTAATAATAAAACAAACAAGCAATAATGAACCTAGTACAACAAACTTTACACCAAAGCTTTAAACAACTATATGTTTAGGTCCAGGTAGTTTATGACCCAGACCATGTTATACTTGCTATGTTTTCTTCCTACTTGTTAATTTAATTGCTTGAATCATATTGGAACTGGATAAAAGAATCATAAAAGGTTAAATTTCATTTACTTGAGTTCTAGATGGGCCACTTGACTGTTACTGAGAATTGGTGTTTCTTTGAACATTAGCCTCTTAATAAATCTTGTATCGACTGTTTATAAAGTACTTTCTCTTCTTGTGGAGCGGGCCAAACGTCTCGATAGCAGATAGATGCATCTATATTTTGTGTCGTTCAACCCTTAGCAGTAGTTTAGATATTTTTATATTAGATCAGGTCGTACAACCTCGGCATAATTTATGCAAAACAAATTCTTGGAGTCCAACTATAATTGTTATTGCTTCATTGGCTTAAGAGATTAAATTGTTAAATGATAGGAATTAATCTGGGATTTACTATTAGCGAAAGAATTGTCTATTATTTCCTGTTAATGAGTTTTCAGCTATATTTATGTAATCCATGCTTAGTTATAATTTCTGTATTTTATTGTTAGCCCATAGTGAGTGTCAAAGTCGACCCCTTGTCACTACTTCTTCCAGTTTAGACTGGATACTTACTGGGTACATGTTGTTTATGTACTCATGTTATACTTTTGCACTAAATGTGCAGGATCTGAGGCAGATGCATCTGGATATCACTCTGACACGCATCCTTGATTTCCACAAGACTCTGCGGTGAGCTGCCTTCTTAGCCCGTTCTGCAGCAGCCGAAGTCTTTCTTTTGCTTGTATTTTCTGTCTATTTCATTTCAGACAGTAATGTAGTATTCTTTTGTATATTCTACTAGTAGTTCATACACTTGTGACACCAGGTCTTAGAGATTTATGCTTATAGACACTTGATGGTTTTTGGGTTATTTTACTTATCTTATTCGTTTTCAAGTCATTTTATTAAATTCTTACTTCCTATCTATGCACAAACTAAAAATCACCTATTTCAAATTTTAAAAGAAATGATCACATAGTTAGTTAATTGTTGGCTTGCCTAGCGGTAACGTAGGGCGCCATCACGACCTATAGGAGAAATTGGGACGTGATAGCAACTGGGACACCGTTGGGATCAGTAGGGGCACCTCGTTGCTAGGTACTATATTGTTGTTTTCGCCATGGTGGCCAGACTTTGCATCAACGTTCAAGTGAGCAGATTGAGAGTTTGACATTCTTAGATAGATCTGAAATTAAAATCTCAAAGAATAAGCGTAAAATAGAGTGTGTTATAGAAATATGTATCAAATTACCATTATTATCCTTAACCTCATTGTGGGTGCCAAACTGTTTACAATTGAATTTATACGCGATTTTAATGATATGTGGATTAATTCAATACAAGTGATTAATAACGTTAGATAAGAAAATTAAGGTTAGAATAATCAGCCAAAACAGTAGTAATATTGAGTCTGGGCTCGGTTATAAGCTTAACAATTAGCTTGCCTTCGGTTCGGAGCCAAACACTTATGAAGAACTATGAGCAAAATTAAGAACTTTGAATAATTTTTAGAAGCATAGAAAACAAATGTATATTGCATTGGTATGCATGTTACAGTGTCCCTACTAAATAATAAACTTCCCCTTTATATAGTAGGGGGGTTTTACTCTAAGTATAATTTTATGAAAGGTAAAAATCTTCCCTTTCGCTAATCACTGATTTGTTGCCGATACGGGTCGAGATCCACGCCGTGATATCCGGTTGGGCACGGATATCACAGCCTTTTATTAATCGTGTGTGGATGTTTGGTAATGCTTTTCGTGGTCTTGGAACTCGAACCGGATCCGGGGGGCGTGATCTCGATGGCTCCGAGGGCAGGTGTTTGTTCGCGCCTTGATACGAGAGGCTCCTAGCTTCGATTTTGATCCCTTGTAGTTACACCCTTGCTTTGTTTGCCTCAACGGGACATCGGAGTGCTCACTAGCCTCGGTTTTATCCGTATATAATATGCAGACCTTACCCTATATCGTGTGAGGTAGAGAGATTGTTTCTAATAGATCATCGGCTCAAAAAAAGTATTTTCAAAACAACATGTTTAACAATACAAGAGTAAAAACGTATGAAGAAACGAATATCGTTGTCCATGGATGTATCGTTGTCTACATTTAACTGCTCAAATCTCCAGTCGGCCTATTATGCGGCAGAGATCCGTTGGGTGTCCCTTTTTGTTAGTCTTTGTTCCAATTCCCTTTTCCAAGTCAATCTCCTGGCATCTACAGCAACAACAACAACAACCCAGTATAATCTCACAAGTGGGGTCTGGGGAGGGTAGTATGTACGCAGACCTTACCCCTACCCCGAGGGGCAGAGAGGCTGTTTCCAGAAGACCATCAACTCAAGAAAGAATCAAGTGACGATATATTAGTATCATCGATAGACTCATAATAAAATAACATAAAATACATAACATAACATAAAGGAGCCTAAAATAGCAAAATAACGGCAATATAAGAGAATATAGTAAATATGAGCGAGATGGAAGGTAAACTAATACCCAGCGCATAAAGCCCTGCATCAGAAGCTGACCAGTAGCATCCTAAGCCTAACTCCTAACTGGCTAGGCTCACTCTAGTACGCTGTAGAAATATTCACAACTTCCCCCTAACCTTCAACCTTAATGTTCGACCTCCACAATTCCCTGTCTAGGGCCATGTCCTCAGTAATCCTAAGTCGCGTCATGTCCCGCTTGATCACCTCTCCCCAATACTTCTTAGGTCTCCCTCTACCTCTTCTCGTACCCACCACCGTCAATCTCCTGGCATTTGAAGCCCTTTATTAGTGTGGTTAGACACTTATCAGTTTCGTGGGTTAATTTCACGTATGTTTTCTAACTTTATTTGCTGTATCATTAAAGTCACACAATAATTCTCTCATATTAAAAAATTTACTGCATCACTATATTTTGTGGTCAATTAATTTTGTGGCTCTTTATCAACTTGTTTTTATTTTTATGATAATACATTTTTTTTTACAGATGAAAGATTTACGTTTATACGTAAGAGATATGTCTTTTACACTTAAGAGATCTAAAAAAACTATTTTCTTAAATTATAAATTATAAAGGGACATGATGTACAAATAACACTTGATTCCAAATAAAACTATGATGAAGAAAATTATTTCTATCTTAGGTCTAGAGATGACGAATATCTTACTAGTATGTTATTTGCGTTGATACAGCGGGGTAGTTATTCCTAGAAAACTTCCTCTCGACTAACCAATTGGACTTTAGCTAATTATTGTTTACTAAACTAATTAAAATGGTGAGGTCAAGGATAAACGTAACACCCACAAATATCCTTTAATTAATGATAAATAGAGTTGAGTCTTTTAATTAGCTTAAGATGTTTTGATTATGAAAAGAAAAATTAATCTTCAACTAATCTTAGTTATTAAACCGCTTTATAATTATAGGCAATAATTAACCATCCGTTCTAAGAGTAGACCAGATCTCTCTCTCTGTCTCTCTCTTTATCTCTCTGTGTAATTTCTCAATTATATTGTGTGTGTGTTGGTTTTGTTCCATGGCAGATCATTCACGGGCCACATCTCATGAGTTTTGCAGCAGTTTTGGCTTTGGAAGTGTCTGTAAAGTTTGCAAATCCTTCGTCTCCAGATTCTCCCCTGACCGTATTTTATCTCCTAAGAATAAGACTCAACAACCCCATAATAAAGATCAAAAGCCTAAATCCAATATCCTCCAAGATCACAAGGTATATATTTGGTTATATTCATAAAATTATTTTATTTAGGGTTGTAAAGTATGTAAACTCCTTGAATGTTTCTCATTATTAAATACTACTGGACTATTTCAGAAGGAAATAGCAAGGAAAATCTTTTAAAAGATTTGATTGAAATAGCATCCTGTCTCAAACATACACGCCTTCTGTTTCACCAGATTCAGTTTTTCTAGTTATTTTTTTATAAGAATCGGAAAATGATAGATCTATTCATTAAGTATTAGAAACAGAATAATTTAATTTTTGCACATATTTGGAAAATCCTCTTAGTCATGTTAGAGATAATATGCCAGTAGAAAATATATAGAACTCTTATTAGTGCATTTATTTTTGTTTTTATTTTGTATGATATTGGTTGCTTAATATTCAGATAGCCGACCCTAACTTGATTAGAATGTAGGTCTACTTGTTGTATTGATAGATGCATGAAGATTTTGACGTATAATTAATCTTTGAATAACCAAATTGCAGGTTAGTATAAAGAAAAGCAGTGTTGATGAAACCGTTATTGACGTTGAAGATTTAAGATATAACCACAATGATCAAGTACCCCCCGGAGCCGTACATAACAATAACCACCGAAGCAACGGACATTATTACTATACAAGTTCTCCCATTTCAAGTCCTCCCGGTTCAAGAAGCACCAGCCCTTCTCGCCTCTCCAGGACCATTTCTCGAATTTTTCGAACCACAAGCGGAAAACATCATAACTTTGTTCCTTCAAGTAATGTCGGTGGTGGAAGTGGACCGGCATTGGCAAGCACGCTTTCGCGTAATGCTAGCCGTACTCATGATAGAGTTGACAGTACTCATGCAGTTCCGAAATCCTTTTCGCGGAGTGCAAGCCTTCGGAATAGAAGCGAAGCACCCCCTGCAGCCTCAACGGCATTACCAGCGTCGTTTTCCCGTAATGCGAGCCGGAGGAGCTCAACTCCTATAATGTTTTCCAGCTCGACCGGATTGGTAAAACCCCCACCTATGGAAGAGACACTTGAATGTACCCTAGAAGAGTTGTGCTTTGGATGCGTTAAGAAGATGAAGGTTACAAGAGATGCGGTTACAGATATTGGGTATGAGTTTACTTTTGCCATTTTATTGGTTATTTTCCTAACTTAGCACTCTAGATTACACACTTTAATGGAATTAGTTAATTTTTCAAAAGCTAGAACTATTAAGCTTTTATTTTCTCATTCGAGGAAGTTTATAATCCTATGGCTTAATTAAATCGCTCATTAATTGTTCATCCCATGAAATCTTTGGCATAAATGCAAGGTAAGGTTACGTATACATAAAACCTAACGTGACCCGGCCCTTTCATTGGGTTCGGACCCGCGTATAACGGAAGCTTAGTACACGGACTACCTATTGACTGGTTTCTTACACCAAAAAGTTTGAAGTTATGTGACAATATTTGTTAGCTAGTATTAGTATTACCACTAGTATCTACTAAGTGCCCAAAATGAGGTAGCTAATAAGTAGCAGCGTCCTAGTAAGTGAAAAACAAATATGGGGGTTAATAATTGTGAAAATTATCTTAAATTATTTACCTGAGGATGTGCCATGCATGTTCTTATCTTACAGGCTAACAGAAGAAGAGGAGGTACTAACAATCAAAGTGAAGCCAGGATGGACAAAAGGGACCAAGATTACATTCGAAGGCAAAGGTGATGAGAGGCCAGGCACTTCTCCAGCAGATGTGATTTTTGTGATCGCAGAGAAACGACACCTTCTCTTCAGGAGAGAAGGCGACAATCTGGAATTGGCAGTAGAAATCCCATTGGTAAAAGCTCTTACAGGTTGCACTATTTCCATACCGTTGTTGTGCGGTGAAAAGATGAGCTTAACCATTGATGATATTATCTACCCTGGTTATGAAAGGATTATAGCAGGACAAGGTATGGCTAAGCCCAAACAGCAAGGGAACAGAGGAAACTTGATTATAACTTTCTTAGTAGCTTTTCCAACTGAACTTACAGAGGAACAAAAGTCTGATGTAGTCAGGATTTTAGAAGATTCTTCTTGAGGGAACTTTGGTCATTTTATCTTCTTATTAAACCTTTTTTTTTTGGTTGGCTTGATTTGCAATTAGATGTAGCAAAACAGAATATTAGGGGTCGTTTGGTAGGATGCATTAGATAATTTAATGCATGCATTAACTTTGTGTATTAATAATACATTGTTTGATAGACATTTTGAACTTATGCATTAATTATGCAAGCATTAGTTATACATCCTATTTGGTATTATCATATGCATAACTAATGCATAGAAAACAATAGTATTAGCAATGCAATGGGTTTTAATGCATGCATTAGCTTAGTTAAAGACAAAATTGTCCTTCAAAATTTATGCTTGATTAAAATATGCTAGTTAGTATATTATGCAAGTTCAAAATAATCCAAATAGTGAGAAATAAATTTATATCTCTAGTAAATAAATAAATACTTAGCATATTTTCTTTTTTATAAATAAATATTTAATTTTATTTTACAATATAGGTAGACAAATAAAATAATTTTTTTTTAAACTTTTTCATATAAAAATATTTTTCAACATATGTTACTTTTAAAAAGTTAGAGTGGACTAGTTTTGAGGGCATTTTTGTAAACAAACAATTCTTTTAGAAATTGTACAATGCTTTAATACATCAAACCAAACAATGGATAAGAAATATATCAGCATAACCAATACCAACATTACTAATACACCCTATTCAGCATTATTCTTATGCATCCTACCAAACGACCCCTTAGTGTGATGCAGGTTGTTAAAATGATGATTGGTTTTTCTTAACAGAAGAAAGGAGTCTCTTTATGCCTTTGCGATTTTTCCAGAGTTTGAGACTTCTTTCCAGTAGATTTATAGCATATGTTATAGGTTTGGCTCCTTGTATAATGAACTTAAAAAGTACAACAAAAAGCTAGTTTTTCACCTATTTTTAAGCAGTCGATCATTGCTAGCTAAGTATAAATTAAAAATTGGGTTCTGATGAAAGATCTGCTCAAGTTCCGCTTTAATAGCCTATTTGGCTAAGCTTTTTTTTTGGCCAAAAATAATTTCTTTTTGTTGCAAAGTGTTTTTTTTTCAAAAGTTAAGGTATTAGGACAAGCTTTTACAAGGAAAAAAAAGTATTTTTGAGTAGAAATTTTTTTTTTCAGAAGCACTTTTGAGAAAAATTCACTTAGGAACGCATTTTAAAAGTTTGACAAAATACTACTCCCTCCGTTCCAATTTATGTGAACTTGTTTGACTGGGCACGGAGTTTAAGAAAAAATGAATACTTTTGGAATTTGTGGTCCTAAACAAGTCAAAAATGGGCCCAGAGTATTTGTGTGGTTATAAAAGCTTCTCATTAATGATAGAATTGTAAGTTTAAGCTAAATTGTTTCCAAATTTAGAAAGGGGTCATTTTTTTGGAAAGGACCAAAAAGGAAATAGGTTCACATAAACTGGAACGGAGGGAGTACTTCAAAAGTTTTTTTCAAATTAATTAACCGAACATATCTGATTCTCACCAAAAGTACTTTAAGAAGCTTGGTCAAATACGCTATAACACAACTACGTGGCTATCTAGCTCTGAAAGAACTCATTTATCACTCATAGAGTGATGGAGTTTACTGTTAATGTCACGACCCAAACCGATGGGCCGCGACGAGTGCGCGAGTCCTACCTGTCGAACACCCATGAGCATGCGTCTAATATATAAATGTGAATAACATTTGCTGAATTACGAGAATAACATACATGAGGGAAACCTGCCCAAAAGGTATATGTATATATACATGCAGAATACGTAGGGTGAGCCGACAAGGCTGCTATAGACAACTACATATCCAAAATTAGAAGTCGGCAAGGCCACATATTATCCAAATATACATACTGTCTACAAACCTCTAATAGAATATTTGACTGTACAAGGACGGGACTGGGCCACGTCATACCCATATATGTATAAAAGCATATCGTACCAAAATTTAAAGCAGCTCTGGATCAAATGGAGCACGCCAACTCTCGCTGATCAAGGATCCTAAGAAGGGGGACCGTCAGCTTGTCTACCTGCACCAGCAGGCATGAAACGCAGGCCCCGGAAAATAGGGCTGTGATGACCCAAAAGGTCATCTCGTATTTTAGAACCCAATTCGGGGTTCCGAGGCCTCCAAGATCTCATTTTATTTCTCCTCGATTTGCGTGCACAATCCGGGTGTGCTTCTTGAAAGCCTTTATGTGAAAATTTGAGAAAATGCTAAGTTTTGCCTTTAAAATTGATTTAAGTTGACTTCGGTCAATATTTTGAGTAAACAGACCCGGACCCATATTTTGACGGTCCCGGAGGGTCCGTAGAAAAATATGGGACTTGGGTGTATGTCCGAAATTGAATTCTAAGGTCCCTTTCCCGAGAAATGAAATTTTGAAGAAAATTGTTAAACTGAAAATATAATAGTTTTTAGAAATTGAATAATGATTGATCTTGTTGGTATCAGGCTCGTATTTTGGTTCCGGAGCCGGGTACAGATTTAATATGGTATTTAAGTCATGCCTGTGAAATTTGGTGAAAAACAGAATTTATTTGACGTGATTCGGACCTTTGGTTGAAAAGTTAGAAGTTTTGAAACTATCTTGAAAATTTCATGAGTTTTGGTGTTGAATTCGTAGTTCTAGGTGTTATTTTGGCGATTTGATCGCGTGAGCAAGTTCGTATGATGTATTAAGACTTGTGTGCATGTTTGGTTTGGAGCCCCGAGGGCTCAAGTGAGTTTTGGATAGGTTACGGGGTGATTTTTGAACTTAGAGAATTGTTGGTATCTGTTGCAAGCCTCTAATCTCGCAATTGCGAGATCAAGCTTCGCAAATGCGAGCAAAACAGGCATGGCAATTGCGAGGGCTTCATTGCAATTGCGAAGAAGGCATAGGCCATCAGAGTTCGCAAATGCGAACGTATTTTCGTAATTGCGAAGAGAGTCTAAGAAGGGGTGTGATCGCAAATGCGATCTTTTCGTCGCATTTGCGGAGATCCCTGGTCCCAATTGCGATCATTACCTTTGTAATTGCGAAAGCAGCAGAGGTGTGGGGAACTTCGCATTTGCGATGTTTCCTCGCATTTGCGAGCTTCGCATGTGCGAAGCTCAGATCGCAAATGCGACATCTGCAGCTGATCAAAATATAACTTAGACGGGATTTTTCATTCATTCTCCCATTTTTCAAAACCTAAACTCCAAGAGGCGATTTTCCTAGGGCAAGTTCTTCCCCAAATTATAGGTAAATGATTTTTAACTTATTTCTTTCAATCTATTTCATCTTTTTACAAGATTTCATCCTAGAATCTAGGGTTTTTCATGGTGGAATTGGGTGTTTTTGGGTAGAATTTAGGAATTTTGAAATTTGGGGATTTAAACCTCAAATTGGGGTCGGATTCCAAAACCAATTGTATATCCGGGCTCGGAGGTGAATAGGTAATCGGGTTTTAGTCCAAATTTCGAGTTTGGACCAAGCGGGCCTGGGGTCGGGTTTTGACTTTTTGGGGAAAATATTGGAAAACCTATGATTATGCATTGGAATTGATTTCTCTAGCATTTATTGATGTTATTAAGCTAATTGTGGCTAGATACGAGTGAATTGGAGGTGGAATCGAGAGGTAAAACGGTATTTGAGGCTTGAGTTTGGCCGTGGAATCGAGGTAAGTGTCGTGGCTAACTTTAGCTTGAGGGGTTAGGTGTTGTTGCCTTATTTTCTACGTGTTTAGTTGTTGAGTACGACGTATAGGTGAGGTGACGAGTATCTATACGTTGTTGTTGGGCCATAGCATGCGAGTGAGTCTTACACTTGTGACTGTGGTGTTCCTTTATACATACTATTCATGTTTTAATTGGTTAATCCTTCATGTTAAACAAGTTTTATTATATTGTTTTTCCTGGTTTAGATATTGGTTGAGTATTTACTCAAGTTGAGATTTATATTGTGAAGTTAGATGTTGAAACGAGATTGGTTATAGCTGATTCCCTTGCCGGGATGTTATTGTTTCTATTGTTTGGGTGAGGAAGAGTGTAAAGCACGAAGGGTGATACTGTGCACGATATTGTGAGTGAGTGTTAATGCACGAAGGGTGATGTCGTGCCATATTCTGTGAGTTTTAATGCATGAAGGGTGATGTCGTGCCATAATTATGAGAGAATTAATGCACGATGGGTGATGTTGTGCCGTTTCTGTTGTTTCTTATGGTAAGGATGAGAGTAAAAGCACGAAGGGTGATGTCATGCATATGTTGTTGTGTTATTATTTTTGTTGGTTCAAAGCATGATATTTACTCTGTTTCTTTACTGTATTGCTTCTAGAACTTGATATTTCCCCCTCAGCATGACTTTTCCCTTCCCATTATTATCTGTTAAATTTCTGTTATTATTATTTTCTGGTATATGATTTAACTGCACAGATTATATTACTGTTGTGTCCTAGCCTCGTCACTACTTTGTCGAGGTTAGGCTCGGCACTTACCATTACATGGGGTCAGTTGTATTGATACTGCACTCCGCACTTTTTGTGCAAATTTTGGTGCTGGACCTCGTGAGTAAAGTTAGGTTGCTGTCTTCAGTCCATCAGGAGACCCAAGGTAGATCTGCCAGTGTTCGTAGTCCCTGGAGTCCCCTTCCCTCTATCTTAATTTTCCTGTTTCTTTTCATTTCGAGAACATATGTATTTCTTTTAAACCAGTGTTTGTAGCAAATTCTTATAAATTCGTGGATTGTGACACCAGATCTTTTGGGTAGTCGTGAAATATTGTCTTAAACTATTATAAAATTCCGCACTCCATATCTATTTAGTTTAAGTTATTGTTACTTACTGTTTTGGTTAATGATTAATGCATTAGAACTGTATCTGTTAGCTTGCCTATCATTCTAAGAGTTAGGCTCCATCGCGATCCCGACGGCTGAAAATCCGGGTCGTGACAAGGGCATAATACGAATAACGTTCTGAGTATGTACGACATAAAAATCAGTACATAAAAGACATAGATGAAATAATGAATAAAGAATTCCGCATATAATTCTAAATAGCTTTGTAAATCCTGAAACATTTATAATCTCATGCATGTGCGTATAAATATCATGTCATGCATAGGTATAGGTGTTCATAACATCATCAAGCCTCTGAAGGCATCCCATCATATCATCTCGGACATTG